ATATATATATATACTCTTTTTTATATCTAGTTACTTAAACAACTTAATTTCTATAATCTGTATATGTACTCCGACAATGTATATAAACTATGTACAAAACAACGACAAAGCGTAGACTTAACAAGCGGAAATTTTCTGTTGAAAATGATATTGGAACTATTGAGAGACAGAGCGAACTATTCGTACAAATATCTCGCTCTTTGTTCTTGCTCTTCGAGATTTGTAACCAATAACATCATTATGATGAAAATCATGTTAGATGACGATATAGTGACGACGATAATAATAAAAATATAATATCGATAATTATCATAGCAGTGTAACAATGTGTTAATGATAATAAGAGAAATAATAGATAAATTCATAATCAGAGATGACATATACAGTTATCACGTAATCCACAAATGGTTGTCAAATGTTATTTATCTTCGTATGATTAGTCAACGAAGAAAATAATTTTACGGTTTTGTTAAAAAAATATCGTCTAAAATGAAAACGAAAAGAAAAAGACGCGATTCTTACATGGTATTATAGGTACATTAACGATAATATTAGTGTTCTTTGGTAACACAGTGATGCGTCCGGAGACCACGAATACGGTTATAACGTATTGTCCGATCGTGACAAGATGGTCCCGAAATTATATTCTTGATCACTACGCTCCTTTGCCTCTGGTCTGACTATATTACGACCACGTTGTACAATTATCGTTAATCAATTAATTAATTAATCAATCTCCTTTGACGAACCCTCTGACGCGTCGCCAATAAAAAAATCCATCTTGTCTTGCAATCTACTTATTATATACACGTGTATCAATGCGCAAACGCATTTCTTTCTATGTACACGTATGACTGTCGTAAAATCTTTTTGAGCTATTTACTTCAAAAATGGCGAAAAGCAACTTTTTTGATAATCTCTCCACGATACATATCTTTCTCTCTCTCACATTATTTTATATTTTATCTAAAGCGCTTTCTGAAAATTTTATGTATTCGCCACTCTCGAAGTGAATAGTGCGATTCACTCGCGCGAATTAATCGCGCTCTCTTGTGAAATATCGACGTTTTTTTGCGTGAGAGTAACTATTTGTATTATATAATTTACGTCATATGTACATAACGACAACAAATAGATTAGCGAAATTAGCTTCTTGTAAGAACACGTGACAGCTTCTTTATCAGCCATCATCAAAACGGTGAATATACTTGTAGTAGAATTATGGAGCTCACGAGCTATTTTTCGAAGCTTACGAATCTGAATAGGAAAAACTGCAAGCGCATCAGCTGACTTTAAAGAAGAAAAAGTTCCGAGACGCTTCTATTTTCGTTAAGAAATATGTACTAACAGTACATGCTTTCGAATGACTTGTCGCCCTGAAGCTTTCCCAACATTTTTCATACATTGGCGCATGTATCCTAATTTATTGCATCATCCTTTAAGCTTATCAGTAATGAAATAAATATATTTCGTAATTCCTCTTTATGCAGACCCTGTTCAAATAGTTTTCTTAAATCTAAAATTAAAAATGCATTATGGCGACGCGCGTAATGAAATATGCATTTCTTACCCATTTTATATTTCTCTCAGAAAGAATTATATTTTTTTATTATATATATATATATATATATATATATGCTAAAATCAAAATTAGTTTTTATAAATACCCTATTTTTTTATTTTATATATATATGTAATTAAAGAAACTAATCTCTTTCTCTCGCTCTTTTTCGGAATTACTTCACAATAAACGAAGATTTCTTTGTTATTTCTTTGTCTCTTTGCACTATTTACATCGAGAATTGCGATTACGTAGAATTTTGAGAAATCGATTCAGAAAAAAATATAAAATGATCTGAAACAGATATATATTTTAGAGAGATCATCATAAGATTTATTTTTTGCCATTTTTGAAATAAGAGGACAAAAATCGTAGCTAAAATTCCGATGAAAGGTTCACGTAACTCTATTTTTCTCTTTAATAAAAATATAAAATGAATAAAAAATGCATATTTCATTACGCGCAGTCGCCACAATACATTTCTAATTCTAGATTTAAGGAAACTATTCGAACATAATATACAGAAAGAGGAATTACGAAATGTTTACTTAATTATTGATAAGCTTAAAGGATGATACGGTGAATTAGGATGCACGCACCAATGTAAGAAAGACGTTGGGAAAGCTTCCGAACAATAAGTCATTTGAAAGCCTGTACTTCTGCTGAAAAGAGCGATCTTTATGCAAATTCATCATAATTAGATTAAAAGCGTAAAAAATATAAATATATACATATAGATATACATATATATGTATGTATTTGTATATATTGTATATAAACTTTATATGTATGTATAACTTTATATTTGGCACTTTTAATCAAATTATGATACATCCGCATAAAGATCATTCTTTTCTAGCAATATGAGCCTTGCATCGCGATTTCAAACTCGACCTTTATCTTTTCGTCAAAGAAATCTCTTTGTCCATTATGAAGTAATTTCGATTAATTTCTCTAATTAATATCAAACTAGTTTATCGTTTAAATATAATTTTGCACTCTCGTTTTGTTAGATCGAATCGATCCGTTTAGCGCAAGTAGATCACTTTGCAACAGAGGGTAAGTTTATAAGAAAAGTCGCATTGCCGACAGAGTACAAACGCCCTTGAAGAACTATCAATGAATCTACGTTGAATCTCCAACGTTACTCTCGATGAGCAAATAGAGCTCGCAGTGTCCATAGCATGTTGGTACATCAATACTCGCATCGCTTTCCCGTCAACTATTGTGATTATGAGCCAAGCGGCTGAGCGCTGGTCATATAAATGTAGCTCTATGGTTGCTGGAGCAACAGTTGCTCCAGCTCGTCAGCGGATCTGAGCAAAAAGGCGGCAGATTCCCGATATCCAGTTATCAGTTGCCTCACCGCGGTCATTTCCGTCGCGTTCAACTTGTGACTTAGCAGTGGCTTCGTGTTCTTCATGCTAAGGTCCGTCGGTCCTGCAAGGATAATGCGAATTTAAAATCAATCGCAATTTAAACGTTGTCATGATTATTCACACACACATCCAAGCATGCACATATTCTATGTTATAAAATAAATTTTAAGTTGTATTATTGAATTCTGGAACGCTATTACACTATCGCAAAAATAGAAGATGACAATCAAAGAAATTTTTGTTTGAATTAATCTATGTAATTAATTTTCGATTAAATATGAGTGGAGGATCTAAAATTTAATATCTAAAAAATAGGAAGTAATAAAAAAAATATTGATTGGCGCTAAATATGGAGGACGGAGGCACATCTCAAGACAATAGCGTGCAAAAGCGAACTTAAAAGGACACCAATAACCAGTATTACTTTGTGTACCGTTGCTCAGTAGGCCCGATGTGAAACTTTGGGTCGGGTAGAGCCCGGCTGAGAGGGTCGGCGGTACCGTTGTAGGCCCGGCGCGCTGGAACGCCTGGCTAAAGTTAGGTCTGTACATGGCTGTCGGTGCACCGCCACTGGCGACACCATTCACCGTCGATGAACTGACTATCGTCGCCTGGCTGAAAAACGCAATGAGAATGAGATGCGCGTTAGCGATAAAGGCTGATTAGCTTCACGTTCCATTAAGGACGTGTGCCCGTTTAATGAGGCGTTCGATGAATTTTTGTGCCATGATCTTTGACCGAAGGCGAAGTCTTATCTAGAACTCGGCGACGGAAATCTTAGCGTCCGATTGCGATAATCGGTTACGGTAATTCAAAGAGAAGTAAGAGAGTTAATCGTAATCACACTGAACGAAAGAACGATAATTTTCTTTAATTTTTTCTTTTTTTTCAATGAGATTCAGTTAATATATAAGTCAACACGAACAGATATTTTGACCCGAGAGAAAAGTTTATTCTTATGTTTTATATCGAATCGGCCTTGATGTTAGTAGGCTGTCAATTAAAAACAGATAAGAGTTCGATTCTACTACGCCGCTAGAGTAAGAAAACGGATTTCATTCGTCTTGCCTTCGTCGTATCTAGTTCATCGTACTGACCTCATGAGACTCTTGTTGTCCGTTGGCGTGAGCAACTTTGACGCGGATGCGAGTGACAGCGGCGTGGAGGAAAGAGAAAGGTGTCAGGGACGTTAGCGATGCCGGGGGGGTGTCCTCTCTCTTACCCGGAAGTGATTTAATCGGCGTGCTTGAGAAGTGCTCCAAACTTGATCGAACGTCCGTTTGCTATAATCGATAAATAATAATATTATTGCAATAAAATATATCATTATAATCTTATCATATATCTTATCTGTAATAATCTCTAATTTATGCATACGATAATATATATATCATATGCAATTCGAAGCTTTAGTTTTTATATTTGGAAATAATACATTAGAATTCATTAAATAAAATAAAATAAAATAATAGTTTATATTGGACGTTTATAATTATTCACAAAACTTGATTGCATACCCAAAAAAATGATTTTCTTTTGCTCTCGATTTTTAGCTTTAATTTTTTATTTAATCTTTGCTAATGCCGAATGAAAATATATTTAGTACGACTATAAGCTATATTTAGTATATTTAGAATATATTTAGTACGATTATAAGCGTAATTTTTTTAGTACTGTGGCTAAATATTGCAATTCCGCCTATTTTTCAAATTAATTCAATTAGATTCGGTTATGCTCTGTCCTTCCAACATCGATGCTTATAAATGACGATATAAAAAAATAAGAACTTGATATTTATAAATCTATCTGTATAAAATATCAAAAAATGCTTTTTGCTTCACTGTCGTAATTAAATTTCGAATATCGAAAAACGATGGCGCATAGAATAACGCCACGACAAATCCGCTATAATACCTGCTGAATTTGACCATGATCGCGAACCAGTTTGTGAACGACTGGTAGATTCTTTTTCCTCATATTTGAGAATAACCAATCGATATCTCGCAAGCACGTGACTAATCACTAAAGCAGCACGAACACTATGGATCGCCTTATGAATTATCGATCATCAACCCCGAGGATCGTCCCGACACAAGCTAATTGAGCCTCGATTATACAGTCTATCCGCTCTCGTTATCAACACGATCCCGATCATCGAACACGATCGTATTCACCGCTATGAGCAACCGAGCGGAATAAAGCGCGCCGGCAGTTTCTTCACTTGAATTTCCTCTTCTGCTTCTTCTCTCGGTCTTCTTAAACTTCTGCGTTCGCGCCCCACCCTGCCTACTGGCGACGTATCGACGAACGATAACAATAACGTCCGCGTTTACTCGAGCGAGATTCAGAAAAGCGAACACGTCGTTCTCGACCGACGGAGGAGAAAGAAAGACAAAACGAATGAGGACGACGAGGAAAAACGGCTTGACACGAGGGAGATACGTTAGGAACAAGAAAAGAAAACGTTCGGATACGTCGGAACGACGAGGTGTGAGTAAGCTCACGAGAGGAAATTAATTCGTGGAAACAAGAAGGAATAGTAAAAGAGAAAGAGAACAAGCATCAAAAGAGAAAGAGGACAAGAAGAGGAGAAGAAGAACTAGAAGAAAACTACGGTGAATGTCGAGAGGTGACAATGTGCGTTTTCACCACAGAAACGGATGACTTGCTTGGCGAAAGAGAAGATCGAATGGAACGCATGCAGAGGGTTGGCGGAGAGTAGGAGGAGGAAGAGAGAAGGTTGAGAAGAAGAAAGCAAGGGGAAGAAGTGCTGAGAGATCGCGGGAAGAGGGTCCGGGCGCGACGAGAGCACAGAGGAATGAAATCTTCAAGCGGCGTAGAACGGATGTAGGGAGGTGTTTTTATGAAAGGCCAGCAGTGTACGTTGACGTCAATTATATAGGTGGCCACGAAGCGCGGATAACCGCTTCGTCCGACGCACACAAACCCCGATATATGTATATGAAAGAGGTCTTCTCCTTAATGGGTTAGGTTTAGGTCGCCGGAGAGGTTATCGGATCTCTCTCTCTCTCTCTCTTTCTCTCTCTGTTCCTCCGTCTCCTTGTCAGCCAGGGATTTTCAAAGTAGATAAATCGGGGCCACGGTAGACAGGGAATCGCGCGCGCGTTTTAGCTTCTCGTTTGCGAGAGGCATGGGTGACGCAAAGAGGGGAGAGAGCGAGGACAGAGTGAGGGAGGGCGACGGTGTCATCGCGACATGTTCGCCAACTGCGAAATCCACGGGAGAAGCGGCGAATAGAATCGCGCGGAAGAAACGTGCGGATAGATGATGGGGAGAAGAGGATTAGGTGCGTCAAGCCGCGCGGTGTATTGTGCGAAATTGGATGGCTCGGACCTATCACCTGCATCTACGCATCTCGTACGCGAGAAACCGTACCGATGGAATTGTTAACTGTATTCCCGCTGTTTCATGCTATCTTATTAGTCTCTGCACGCACGTAATAGATGACGAACATTAAGTTGACCGTATAACGGAGACGCTGTCGTAATTGTTTCCATAACACCGAATCGTTTAATGTTCTTGCCGCGTAGATTAGATGTGACGTCAATAAGAACGATTCGAGAGACTGATCAATGCTTTTCTAGTGAACGATCGATCCAATTTCCATCCGAAAAGCCGCCCGGATATCTTGGCGACAATTTCTCTCGACGATGACTCCCCGAAACACGTAATCTCGATTCGCATAGCTGACGTATCACGAAATCTACGGATATCGTGCGATCGGTGTATTACTTGTTAGGCGCGTGAAAGCGCGCGCCGGTTCCGACGCGCAAAAGTCCGCGACGGCTTTTTCCCCCCCTCCTTCCCTTCCCCGCTGCATCTCGCCGCGCTTTTGCGCCGCGTTTCTCTCCCGAGAATATTTTCAGTTTCCTCCGTTCCGCATACGATCGTTTTTATGAGGCCGAGGTTGCTTACGCCGCCGCCGGCCCTCCGTAGAGCGCGATCTGTATACGCGGGTTGCATCAGAGTGGGAGAGGTGCGCGACCCGCGGGTTATCACTGGCCTGTCTCGCGGTACCTATATCAATCCTAGCTCTCCGTCCACGTATATCTCGCTGCCAGGCATTGCGCAGGAGCTCGTCGAAGTTTCAAGCGTGACAATGTAACACGAGACTTATGTGTTAGCTCGCAATCGAAAATCTCTCCTTTCGTTCATTTTTAATTCTTTATTTTCTCTTTTATCTTATTTACGATAATTTTTTTCGTTCCCCTCGGAATATTTATTTTTCACGTTATTCTAGTTTCTATACATTTAATATATTCTCTCAGATTTATATTATTTATGTTATAATAGAGCGAATACAAATGACTAGATAAATGACAAACTAAAAAGCGAGTTTAGTGAGATGTTTATCTTTAAACAATGATGAGATTCTCTGCATGATGACGAAATTTGCATGCATTAGCATGAAATGGAATAAATGAGTTAAAGGACAATTAGGTAGACGCGTAATCCCTTTCTACGAGGATTGATCGAAATGCCAGCAAACTGGTATGTCTACGTTATTTGTACACGCGCCTACTGCGTGATCCGCATCGCTGGTACACGTTTGTGGATAAAATTGCAATAGTGGAAACATGAGACAGATGATGCTTTTTTATAGTTTAGAATTTTATTTACTTATTTGTTTATTCGATATATATATATATATATTTGCAATTAGATATTATTTATTATTTTTAAAAAAATACTTGGATTGGTTCAAATATTTTTTTATACCACACTATCACGTTTTGATACTACAGCGAGTAATTGGTTTATTTTCTAACAATGATTCACACGTTTGTATCTATCTATGGCGATAAGTTATTACTTTCCACATTAGTTTATGATTCATTAAGCGTGTCGCGAAACATTCGCAAGTGATCTAAAAATCGCTTGATTAATGACTCCTGTGTTCTTTGTACGTCGGTAAGAATGTCCGAAGGTTGCGCACGCGTAGCATCTAATTACGATCAGCCATGCGCGTGCATTATTAGAAGAACGTTCGTAAAGGCACATGCAATTCTCACGGGCCAATGAAAAAGAGCTTTAAAATTATTAATCGGCAATGCGTTTCGGTATCTGTGCTATATCGTCGTCCATACGCCAAAGTCTAGAATGTCTTGCGACACGTAATTATTGCCAAGCTAACGATGTCGAAACGTCTTATTTGCCGGGGGCAACATTGTCGCTTGCGAAGTTTGCGACAGTGTGTCCCTTTCTTCGTGTGTGATTATTACTCACCGTTGCGGCCGGAAGAGTTGGCATAGGCTGCGACACAGGCTCTAGACCGACTCTCATGCGTTTCGCGTTGTCGCTCTCGTTTTCGCAGGCGATTGCCAGAATCTGCTCGGCCTGCACGGAGGTCAAGTGTGCTGGCGTGGGTCTCGCCTAAAAAAAAATACGTACGTCACTCTCACACTCGCTTGTATCGAAGCTTGACTCACGCCGTGAGAATGCCCGAGCTTGCATGAACAAAGTTCGACGCGAGTAATTTCAAGAGGCACATGCATAAGCTTTAATTAATAAAATAACAAACTCTCGAAGATATATCGAAAAACGTAAATGTGAATTTAAAATTTGAAGAGTTGTAGCTTTGAACTTGAAAGCGATACTTTATATATGTATATAGTATCTCGAAACTTGAGAAGAGTTTTAGAAGAGATAATTGGTTTATTATACTTCTTACGATTATAAATGTGATGGAAAACTTACGGTGTCCCAAGGACCCTCTCTGCCGCGTTTGTTCCTCCGACAGCTCTTCAGGTACGTTCGAATCCTTTTCCTAGCCCTTTCGGCGAACTCAGGGAACTGTCTCGTGCAACTGTCGATGATTGCCTGTATCTTCTCCTTGGGTTGCTTCGAGATCGGCACGATACGGTCGAGGTTTTCGTCGACGAACAGCCTCACGAACATCTGCCACGGAACACGACGCAGCGGCAACGTTAGTGGAGTGAATTAAATGGGAGTCTCGCTAACCGCTCAAGAAATTAAGAATTTAGCGGCAGTGGGGCGCGCAACACCGGGACTCTATTAAACTAATTGTAATTAATTAAGAAGCTGGCCGGCGCACCAGCGGCAACCGCCGCGAAACGCTACGACCGCTTGGCTTTCACGAGGAAAACAGACGAAAAAAAAGATATATATGAGAAACGGGAAACGAGGGAGAAAACCGAGAGAGAAACGGCATGTGCTGCTCCCCTGTGTGAGCCGGCTCTCGGGGATCGTCGCTCATAAAACTTTACGATAATTAGGATTTTTCGGGAAAGCCCAACGCGCCGCCAATATGCCGACGGCCTTAACTTGTGCGCTCATACTCCGTTGCCGTTCTCTTTTCCCTCTGTATGGTTCTTCCGAGGTATAAACGACGCTTTTCTTGCAATAGTTGCATAAAGTGACCGGTTAAATATACAACTGCGCGTAATTCAGTTACGTTTATTATACATCTTCCGTTCGCCGAGATTGCAACGTACAATATTTGCGATAATGAGGATAATGATGACTCTATTGTTTAATTAAAATTTCAAATTTCGAATTCAATTTTGTCGGGATATTTAGAAATCTTCTTATATAAATTGCTCTGAGGAAGAGGCAATTTTTTTTCGTTAAAATGACTCACGCGTAAAAAAATAAAAGTACAAATATACTTACGTTGAACGCCTTGAGACGTTCCGGATCGTGATGTCTTGGGTCTAGTCCTTCGTCTACATCCATGTCATCATCGTCTTCATCTTCTTTATTGCCACTACTGCTGGTTTCATCGTGGGCGCTTCCCGTCCCCTCGCCGCCGGGCGGACTGGACTCCCGATCGCGATCCGATCGCGAGGGCGTCGCCGACGACGCCGGCGGGGACGTTTTCTTGTAACCCATGGTGTAAGATGCCCACAAGGAAGCCATGTCCTCGCCGCCAACGCCCGCCACGGCGCCTAAACTCGGTACGGTTCCCGCTGGCATGTCCACCAATTCCGAAGAACCGTTTCGGGAATCTGCAAAGGCAAATGTCGCATGACGATTTAGCACGTGTGTCTGCAATCTGGTTTTTTTATAGTTTTTATTAGCGAAGCACGTATGGATATAGGTATAATTAACGTTTTAATAACGGAATAATAATACATGTTATTATTTGAATGTCATTTATTGAAATCTCTCGGCGTTGTTAGTATTATTAGCATCAATAATGATTGTAATATGAACACAACGATATTTTTAATAATTATTACTAATTAATAATGCAAATTTGGTGATAGAAACACTTTGCGTTCGCGATCGGTAATTATCTGGTAAAAGAGAGATCTTCCACCGGGGTAGCGCCGGGAAAATAATAACGTTCTCGTTGAGTGCCCGCCGTGCCATGATGATTAGATCGCTGCCGCGCGCTGTTTCGATTTATGAATAGAGAACGTTGCAGATAGAACAAAAGAAGGGAATACTTTTTTCCTTCCCACGCTATGGTCAGATGAGGAACCAGTCATGTGCGGTCGGATAGATATTCTAGTGGTGAGAGAGAGACAGCGAGAGACTCGTGGGTGGTATTTATCCCGTGAATATAATAAACGCAGTATCGTTCGGGTTGCGTGACGACATTGATTATGAATGATCGACTAACAGGGGTAGCATTTGCGTTATCCGAAATATTGTAGTTTCTCTGGTAGGAATTAATTTGGAGATCAAATAATCTTATTGATTATTAAAAAATACTTGTGTCTTTCAAACAGTTGAAAAAGGTTACATAAATTAATTATGATTAAATTCGATATAAGTTCCTTATAAACAAGAGAATAAATAAAAAATATGTTACTTTTTAAAATAATTATTAAACATACAAATCTGTATCACATATAATAGTCTCCCCTAAATTATAAACAGAGAAGAATCTTTTAATATTTTATTATTATTTTACGTTTCTATGACTCATTAAAATTATCGTACGATAAAATATATATATCGAGAAACTATGTTAGAATGTTATAATTTTATAATTTTGTATTTTTTTCTAACTGGTATTTATATCATATTCTGTTATTTAAATTGAATTACAAATGTTCAGAATTAAATACGCAGCCTTAAAATTCTTATGGAAACCTTAAGAAATAAAAATTTCAACATTCTTTGCGTGATTAAATTTCCGAAACAGACAAGTTTGTGTCGAATCTTATTTCTAGAAGGCAGACTGAAATTTAGTGTCAATTGTGTCGATGACAGTAAGATTGGGGACCGTCATTCGGCCGACTCTTGTATAGACCGTGTTTCTTCTCTACGTTAACAATGGCGACCCGTTTTCAAAATCCGTAATAAGCTCCGATAGCGTGTGCGAAGTGTTAAAAGGCGGTGCGGTCTTCTACCGTCACGATCCCGGGAGAGAACGTACGGTAAAGGCGCTTTCACGAAGAGGATGTCGACGGGGACAGGTACGAGGTCTCTCGTGGCCGGCGAGAGGCTTCATGTACGAAGAGGCGTATGGATTGTCGGTAGGGAGTGCCGCAGGAGAATCGTAAAGAGGCTACGAGCCTCGCGAACTTCTTCCACCTGGGGCTCTCCTTGGTTCCGATTAAAAAAGGGGCAGCCTTGCGGCTTGCCGCTTTACACATTCGCACGATCGATAGAGAACATCGACGACGGGAACGTTCATACAAAGCGGACAGGTCTGCCTTCATTTTCTACACACTACTCAAATTATATTTTTGATGTGCGCGCGTCATGTGTGTATTTTGATCTTTAAATATACAATATATATATTAAAAAAGAGAATTTAGTTACGTCATAAGAAAATGATAGACAAGAAAAAGAATAATATATCTTTTTAATATTAATTTCATCTATATATTTATATTAGATAGAAAATAGATATGTAATAAGTAAAATATTATTTCTACTGCTCATTACAAATGTGTAGGTTGAATATTATAGACACGCTAAAAAGATGACGTAAAATAAGAATCCTTCTGGACGGATGATACGATCGTGTTTGTTTTGCTGATAATCTAGCTCATCTCAGCCAAGCGCACGATCTTAGATCTACTTCTCTCGCGATGTGCGCGAAGTAATCTGCATTCTGGAATCGAATTCTTCCGAGCGTAGTTTCCAAGACGCCACTTCGAGGCGGACGCGTTGCAAGGCAACGTCTTGAAACATTTGCATCGTCGCGGGGCAACTTTCTGCCGGGCGCTTCAACTTCTCCCGCGCGAAGACGCGAGGTCTATCTGGGCGCAGCTATCTCGAGTGAACAAGCGCGCGATTCTGATTTCTCGAGTCGTTCAGCGATCGCAACGTATCTTTCTAGGAGGATTCCGGTAGAACCAGTCAGTAACTGAACGCGCAAACGGACGACCCAGGAAACTGGACCCTCGTCCAGGAGACGTGCTGACGATGCTACACCGTGCGTTTCTATCCCTCCTTCTCTGCCCTCTCTGTCTATCTCTCCTTCCCCGTCTTTCTCTTATTCTCCCCCGGCCCTCTGGAGGTTGCTGCACTTCGATTCTCACACGCACACGCATGCGATACGCGCGTTTACGGAAAAAAGCACATGCGTGCGTGTGTGCATGTGTACACAACACTCTCTAGGAGGATACGGCACTGCGCACACCGAGAGAGAGGATTCCCGGCCTGCGGCGAGATATACACACGTTGGGTATCGCCGGAGACTAGTCTTAGAAGATGGGGAACAGCACGCACATAAGCAAAACGCTAAGGCTAGGCCGGCCCGCGTACACGTCTAGAAAGCCGGTTACCAATCCCAATCCCACACCGCCTAGCACCGTTCCTGAACTCGCCTCTTGGCCGCTGGCCTGAACCTGAAATCAGTCGACGGCGCCCCACCAGCCACTTCGTCCTCCTCGTTCCCTCGACTTCGCGCGCGTTCCCGCAAAGGAAAACTAATACTATGGCCTCTACGACCATACCACAGGCACTTCCTCTTTTTCCAAGCAAGTCTCCGTGCCTGCTGTGCGCCTCGCGCGATGAGCCTCGCGCGTTACAAAATTCGCAGACAAGCTACGTACGCCTACGGGGGCCAGGTATGAAACTGTCTACCGCTCGGATGCCGGCAACGCTGGGATGGTAACGTGCAATTGCGAGGATGATGGACGAAGACGTATTATCTTGTCCCTCATAAATGTCACTGACCATAGTAGGACGTCGCGCATGATGGCATGTGTGTGCGCGTCGATGTGAAAGAGAGAAAATTCGGAAGTTCTGACTCTAATTACGCTTTATACGACGATTAGACCCTTTCTATAAAGTTTTGGATTTTTTAAATTTATTTATTGAATCAATTACTTTGATTCTACTAGTTTAATTTACTAGTTTACTAACTTAGTTAAAGTTTAAAGAAATTTCTATCTGATCTCTTTATATAATAATTTTTTTTAAGAGTTTTCATCGAATTTTTCGAATTTGAATTAATTTGTTTATTAATTTGCTTCACTTCCTTTTCTCTATAGTGACCAATGCAGTGGTAATAATTTATATATATAGATTTTGCGGGTATATTTGAAATATGATTAATAATTTAAAGCTAGATATTTGAAATAAAAGATACGTTATTTATTATATACTGAAAAAGGCAATATTTAAAGAACAAATATTTAAGAGAAGTGTATATGATTATCCTGATGTATATGCGATATATGACGTAGATCCGGAAACGGTTGTTCTTAAGATATTGTGATTTTGTGACATATCGCAAACATATCGCATAATCGCGCCGCGTATGCGCTCGGGGAAAGTTGCGCGTTCGCTGTAAATTATAAATATTACACCGCTGACTTTGCCGCAGGATACATTAAGAGATGAGAAACCAAGATGTCCTCACGGCCATCATTGTCTTTTTTATCAAGATCTCTAAGTGGACGAAGCTTTATCGAAAAATCGATGTATGCAGCTTGAATCTAAAATTATTTTGATAAGACTATTATTTTTCAGTGTACTTCGAAACATTACTTTCTATATTAATATTATTAAAATAGAAAAAAATAACATACAATTTGACTGAAAAAAGGTACATACAATTGAATCAATATAGTTTCTAATATATTGAAGTATATATTATCCGGACAAAATAGGATGTATATAAAATTATAAGAGAGACGGGGAGAGAGAGAGAAAGAGAGTGGGAGAATAAATGACCGCACATTCTTAGCTGAAAATGTAAATCGCGCGAAAGCAAGACTATATTAGAAGATCGCGACTCGGATTAAATCGCGGAGTCGCTCGATTAGCCGACAATCTTTGTCGTTTTTCCCGCTCGAGATCGCGCGGCAGAAGAAGTGGTTTTATCGAGAAATCGATTTGCGAAACGCGTGTCTACGAAGTAGGGTCCGGTGAGAGAAGTCCTGCGCGAGATGCGGGGAATCTGCGCTGGTCATCACGAGGGAGGGAGAGAGGGAGGGACGGACGAGAAGAGGACTATCTATTGTGCAGTGTGTGTATTCACGTATACATATACATACATATATATATATATATATATATATATATATATATATATATATATATATAAAATACACGCATACATACACATATATATCTACTCGTCTCTTCGGCCGATGGCTGGTTCATTACGCAATGACTACGTCCGAGATATAGAAGCCCGCTTCGAAACCAGTTTCAAATAGCTGGCAGGGAGAGGTAGAAGAGGCGTACCGAGACGGAGGGGCATGATGAATTATCCTTCCGCAACCTGGCCTAACTGAACAACAGGCGAATCCCAAGGAACGTGCAGTACTGTGCGGAAACGCTCGGTGCCTCGGAGAACATTGTGCGATTATCGCGACGTTAAGGACGTGTGTAGCAATTAACGTGTATGCCTTTTCGCTGTTCAAGATGTTTCGAGTACGACAAAGCTAAATTAGCAGCGGAAAACGATGATATTATAAGGAAAATTGGGCTATTTTTGGACGTAACTATTTATAGTTCGCGAGATGATAATTTTGATGACGGAACTTTTTAAAATTTTATCTTATATATAAATAATGTGAATTTGGTGAAATTATAAAACTTTAATAAAAATCGAGTTTTATATACAAAGATATGATTTTAGTTTTATGAAATTTTAAGTGATTTTTAATTATATATATATAGGGAAATTATATGTAAAGGAAACGCGCAATATCTTTTCTTATATATACATATACATAACACTCTTATACTATATAATATAATTTTACTGGAAAAAGATTACGTTGCCTCTTGCATTGAAAAAATAGGTAGCCCGGAAAAGCATTAACAATGCGCCGTATGCTACCATAATCCAAAATCATTTTAAGAAATTCACTTGCGATAGCGTAATAGTGCGACTAATGGACTTTTCGCGCGCACACTCTGCAATTTTCGATATTCAACTTTCAATGTCCATCAGCCGACACAATTACCACGTTACATCCGTCGCTTCCATTCACATGACTCGCTTCTTTATTCAACCAGGACACTCGAGCACAAGGTATCAGAGTACGTCTAGAATATACTTTTTCTCCTTCTTCTTATACACACATACACATAGATAATTAGAAATATAACTGATATTTTAAAAGTCTCTGTTTTTTAAAAAATTCTGATAAATAGAAAAACAAATTAAAGGCCAAGAATAAAAAATTGAAGAATTTAGTTTTTTTTTTTTTTAAATAGTTGAGTTTGAACGACGCTTAGACGAGATTACAATTCGTTTGCGAGAAAGCATGCGAATTTCCGCCACACGGACGACGATTACGTAAGGATTAATGAACGAGGATGAAATATAGCTACGCGTACCGCAGACTCCGAGTGGTATCGATACCCGAAGGTATCGGTTGCATTCCTCATCTGGTACACGGCTTTCCGCCCGCACTGATTCATCGCCGGCGGGGGAAGAAGGAGGATTCACGGCATGCTTCACCCCCGTGATTCACCCTGACGTAGATTTCGCCGGAACGCGTGGGTGTGCAACGACGGAGGAGGCGCGCTCGCGCGTGTACGTACGCGCACACGCTCGCGGATACATATATATACATACGAGATGAGACGCGCGTCGAATTTCTCTTTCTACGCCACGGGGTACGTTCTAGGCCGGCGATCTATTAGTCACGTCGCGCGCGACGACAAAACTTTACGAGCTAAATGGCCGGTACACCTTGGCCCCGCGAAACCTGCAATTCACTCCGCCGCGCCGAGCCGGGCTGAGCCGAGTCGGGCCGCGCGAGAAGGACGCAAAACTTGAGCATTAAAGCCCCCGGCAGTGCGCTTACGCCAGGCAGAGCAAGGTTCTTTTCATAAGTAGGATTTCGTCAGTCTAGGCGACATCAATGGGACGTTGGCGTATGTAACTTCGTCGAGTCCTTTCGCGATGAAAAAGAAAGAAAGAAAGACGTCTAGACGTCCCGTAATGGATTCCGTTAAACGTCTCGTCTGTCGATATATTCTTTGAGGCGAATTCTCTTCCACCCACCTCCAAAGTCGTGATCGACATCGCGCTTAGTCCCACCACGATATCAACGGGTTATCGTACACACTAGATGCGCGAAGAACAGTAAACAATTTTGAATCCTGGAATATATGATCTCATAGTAAAAATTTGCAAAAGCTAAGATAAAAATAAAATTAATTTGAGAAATCTGTTTCAAGTACTATTACTAAAATACTAGTAAATATTAATAAAAATTCTATTATACTACTACTAGAAAAATAGTTTTAGGATAGTCTTTATTTAGAAGTCGTCAAGATCTTTTTTTATTGTAGAATCAAGAAGAATTTTGAATTCTTTTATTATATGTTCTTCTCCCATTAAAAGTCATAAGGATAATCTATAAAAGAATAACTTAGAACATTGAGAATATTATTTGCTTCTAATGTTTGCGATTCGCGAATATATTCGCATGCGATTTAAAATATCGCGATATCCGATAGTGCTATATGTATATCCCGCTTGGTGAAGTAGGGTGTTACCTGTGAGTGTGGAGTTGTTAATGGTGTTGTTTGCCGTGGAAATAGCTGATTGGCTGGTGACAGGTGTGCCAACGGTGGTAGCTGTGGTAGTCGAAGAGTTATTTGGCGAGAGGGCGTTTGCCTGTGCCTGGACCTGTGCCTGCGCCTGAAGATTATAATTCCATGCGAGCAGCATCAACTTCAGCTTATCCGGGTCTTTCATAAGCGAGCCTGCCGAAACTAAAAGTACCAATCGATTTGAAAGGAGTTAAAAAAACATCATGTATTAAGTAAAAAACGATTGCGCGTGCACGGTGCAAAGCTCGCGTTGGCCAAGCTCTCTTTCTTGCCAACGGTAGTCCTTGCTTATAACAGAGTATAGTCATACATCCGGACACGATTTCATATCGCGAACGAGTCGCGACATTCGTCATCCATCTCTAGCAAGCCTCATGCGCGCCGGAGGCTATTATCACTTATCAGCTATCTGAGCTCACGAAGCGACTCCAGCCGAGCGAGAAGCGCCGAATAAATTAGACTTATAAAACAACAACATCGTCGACTCGATTTAATCGGCGCTTAATAACGCAACAGGTTTAATTACCCGAAACTAATAAATCGGCCGGCTTCGTAGCTCGATCGTCACAGCTGGCGGCGAACTCGTACACGCTGGTTACGATTATTAATCGATCGGGTAATTTACACAGGCTCTGACAAAAACACGAACCCGCGGCCGCGGGTGAATGAGACTACGATTAACTCTTTGCCAAAGTATGCGCTCATAATTTATCCTCGGACACGATCGAGCCGGCGAAGGGAGGTCGTTTTACTTATTGATCGGCGTCGCGGTCGAATTCGACGGCGCGATTAATGACGTTTCGTCGATGGTTCGCTTCGCGAGATATCTATCGGGAAGCCGGCGAGTTCTACGAGCCAGTTTTAACGTCATACGCGCCATGACTCGTCGCGAAGCATCGGCAAAATGATATCTTAGAACGGACCATGACATGTGCCTTTTCGCCTTCTTTCCGCTCGCGAAGATTGCATCTCATCAAGTAAAACGACAAGCAATAACGCGACCCGAGCAATGGAAATGAAAAATAAAACTCCGGATGACGATAGCTTTCGAAATCGTCACCGATACAATGAAAGCCACGCATGCATGTTTGCACGCGATGAGTGATGAGTAATGCATGCTACAAATATGTTTTCCGGCAATATCATACGCGTACTTATTTTTGAAATTTGATTCTGATACATCTGAAATTGATAAAACTGAGTTATTATATATCTGATAAATAAGATTTACTTTTTTTGTTTATATGCGATTTAAAACAAATTTTCTCCGAAATGATTAACAAGTTCAGTTATTTAGGCATTTATAGCTGATAGCACATTCTTTCTTTTACACGTTGCGCGATTCTTGAGAATTATCAAAGTCAAAATTAGAGATAATACAATTATAATATACTTATGAATCGGAATAAGAATGATCTAACGAACAAATTAAAATGCAATATTACTCTGTTTATTAAAAAAACGTGATCGAAAAAAAACTATATTATATCGATTCGAAAGTTCTGAACTAAATTTTTCATCTATTTGAATTTTAATGATAAATCGTCTTATAAATTTTTCCACGACGATAATTTCATCGCTTCGTATGTAATTAAAGACCTTTAACCTCTTTCTAGCAGCGCGCTTTAATTAATCGATTTTCGAATCTCTCTCAAAAAGGCTCGTCGACACGTTCAGCAAAAACAAATTTCGACGCAAGCAAACTCATTGAACGTTCGGATCAATGCCTATGTAAATACATGTGTGACATGTGCATGTATTTTTTGTATTCTTCTCACGAAATCATTGATCTTTTCTTTTCTTATTTGATCAGAGTGCGCGTATAACACAGTTTCATACACGTCCATCTTTTTTCGAATGCCAAAAACAATCCGTATGGTAATATCGTAATTGAATATACAGTGCCGAATAACGCACATTCGACGACATTAATTCGTTATATCGATTCGTGCTACGCAAACTACCGCGAACGTACGCGCAGATTCACCGGAATCTAACCACTGATATTGATTCTTAGATTATAGTTCTTTGATTTATTAGCTAAAGTATTATGTAGAATTTCTAATAAATATTCAAAGAATATTCGACACTCGATTCGATAAAAATATACTACGTGAAAAATTTTAATAATCTATCTTAAACAATTTGTTTTCAATTTAATGTGAGAGATTTGGATTGCAACATTTAATAAAGATTTGTAAATTTATTTCTCATTTTATTTTCAATATAATCTCGTTATAAAAAAAATATATAAGTTTCATTTTTTTATAAATTACCAAAACTCTATCAACTTCGTTCGACTCGTCTTTATATTCTGAAATTTATGTCAAGTTTGGATTATCATCAGAGCACATTGCGGACTAGGCTCAATCTATCAACTGATTCAACTTATTATAATAATGCGCAACAGCAACAGCGACGGACAAATACGAACGAGCTTACTATTAACTCGCGCAAATTCCGCGGGGACAACTGAAACAACAATGTCCGCGTTTTCTGCGCACAACCGCGTGTAATCGGACTGGAGAGTTCAAAAGGACAATCCGCAGATTTTCTAGCATATCGCGCGGATGCGGTTTCGTTTGTGTTGGTCCGCTGGAATTAGCGATGATATGCGAACGAACGTTTCGGAGACGAGAGTAGAGATTATTAATCGGCAAACAAACCCGCGTATAGATAGAAACAAAGGAAGAGAGAAATGGGGTGATGTCTAAATCATTCAAGACGCGATTCATTAATTTAGAAGGCCGTGTGCGACGCTACCATAGAATTCGGGTCAGAATTTCCGAAACGGATACGACACTTGACTTCGCGGTAAAAAAAACGAGACATTTCTTCCAGAAGCGAAAAGTACATTTGAGCCGAATCGAGTCGATGAAAGTGACGCGGCACGTCAGACGAATGAGACTTTGCACGCGTGCACACGCGGAAGAATACATCTTTGCATCTTGCTTCGTAAGAGGATCTCTCGTAATCTTTTATTCCTTTACTCCTTCGGGTAAAGGGGTTCGAGACGGCGACCGACCACCTCGGATGTACCGACTGATATGTGGCGAGATTTACGCTATGGGAGAGATATAGATAATGAAAGATTCTCTCTACTCACTTGGATAGTGATCATCCTCGGATATGTCGGCTGGCTCCGGGGTCGAGATGTTTTCCTGTAACAGAGATAGAAAGCCGTTAAATCCTGAAGTGTTTCCTGCTCGAGTCGTAGTCTGGTAGTCGAACGGTTTCGCTCTGGACCCGCGCGATACAGGACAAAATTCTTACAACGTGTTTAGAAGTTCGCGACACTCATTTTCCGTAACTGCCGGTTATGATAATATCGCGCGAACGCAGCCGTGGTCTGACCACATCGTTACTCAGGGACAGATGCTCGCGGCCTTATTCAATCTTGCTATATAGCATCTTGCCATATAGCATCCATACCATTTTTGTAAGGAGGTGTCCTTTAAATATTTTCCAGTGAGGTAAAGTAATCATCTTCTTTTAAAAAAGAAATATGGACATATAACTCTATCCGTATTTAATCTATATGTAGTACATAATTATAAATTGAAGTAATTTTTTATTGAAGTTATTCATTAATAGCATTTTTTTATTTTTTTTCTTTTAATGTTAATAATATTTTTATGTATTCATACATATAGATATATATATATACATATATATTATTATAATTATTACTAACTTATGTAAGGAAAAAAGAGAAAAAAATCACAGAAGTTACAAATTCTCACAATTCTATTACATTGTATCGCGTATAAAACGGTTGAGAAGAAGCTATCGAAGGCTGTCCGCGTTACAATACGCCTACAGGAAGACCATGGACTTTATTGTCCTAGATCAAGAGCTGGCGGCGATGCGCGATTCATCGAAACGCAAATTGCTTACGCCTCGGCGTTCTGCCGCTCTGCCGCATCGCGAAGGTAACGCGCGTCAAGAATCTCGAATCAGTAGCGCGAGCAGCATCGGCTCTCAACCCTTTCGATTAATTCATCTCCGATTTAAATACCATTTCATATACACAGAAATCTTCTCTAGATGTAATGTAATTGATGTTTTACGTTCATTAAGAAATTATTTATCATTACGCGTGTCAAGTTCTAATTCCTCATCGTAATAACAAATACAGCAAGAGTAGAAAATAATTCAGATTACTTTTTCGATAAATTTCTCTTTTCACCGCGTTGCAACACTATGATAATCTCTTATTGTATATCCAATAAAATTTGTCAAAATGTAACCGATACATTACTCATGAAACGCGGAAACGGATTTCTATAACGCTCATCCAAAAAAAAAAGAAAAAGAAAAAGAACGTTCTCTTTTTACGCTACTGGCCGAGATCGATCGGTCAGGGACGTTTTGGGGGAATAAGGCCGAGGCTCGTTGAGTGGAGGATCCTCTATATGGTCAGGTCGTTTTTCATCGAAAAGAGCAATGCTTCGCGTTCTCCGGCGCGTTCCGTGATATCGCATCACGCGCCGTGGTCTAATCGATCCTCGCATCGAGTCGCACGAGGCAAGCTTTAGCGGCGCGATTCTATCTCGCTTTGATTGATTTTATGCCGACGAAATTAACGGGTTTTTCCCCAGCTGAAACGAACGGCCGGCCGACAGTTTCGCAAGGCATGCACTACGTAGCCTGTGCGATGCCTGGGCCGACTGGTTCGCCGCGCGTTTCTGCAGCGGCACAGCCTCTCCTATCTGTGTCAGGTCTCGTGTTGCAACTCCAGAAGGTCGACCGGTATACAACGCGGAGAGCACGGCCAATTGATACCGGTCACAACTTTGTCCAGCAGGCTTGTAGGACATAGGCGGCGTGTAAGCGAGCGAACGAGCGCGCGCACGAGAGTGTGCATACGTATGTGTCCGTGCGTATCAATGTGTGCGCAGCGCCGCAAAAACTCCCGATGATGTAACCGAGAAATTCCGATGCGCGGACGAACGTGGAAATCGCGAGAGTGACGAGGAGATCCAATCGCGACGAAATGTCGCGCCGCGCTTTTTTAAGCGCGCGCTCCTTCTCTTTTCTATGAGGAGAGGAATTATCAGTAAAGTACAGAAAAAGAATCTTGATAGGAAACGAAGAAGATACTCGAATGTGGCGAAATGTTGCGAATTTGTATCGCATTGTTTTTATCTATATTGAAATATACATATACGTTTCCGTTTATACACATTAATTAACAATGCATCAAATTTAGAATCATCATATATATAAATCAGCTAGTCAACTTTTCCCTTCTATATTTAATCTATTTCACTTCGAATATAATTTCAGCCAATTCGTTCTCGATAATAGCGTATTTTCCTAAAAGTTATTGCATTATATTGAATTTTTATCTTTATACTTTGCTTTTGATATCGTTTGTATTTTTTTTTTCAATTGGCCGAAACGGTTCGAAGGGGCGGCGTATTCAAAAGTTTATCGGTATTAGATAGAATTACAGAATCTATTTAATAATCGGTGGAATTTATTGGCCGGATATCTCTCACTCGCTCTTTCTTTCCTCTCTAAATACACCGTTGACTTCAAGCTGCATCCGCGGAAGGTTATCTTAAGAATCTTTCATTAAGAATTTAATATAACTCGATTTTCATGGAATCGGTCGCGGAAGTATCTATACGTATCTATCAAGATTATAACGAGCCATTTTTTGTAATCTAAGAAATGATGACTGATGTATCATAGAAAAAAAGAGGAGTTAAAGCTTTAGAGATGCAGAGATAAAATACAAATAAAATATATATATAAATTCAAAATAAAATATCAAAGTGAAAGAACGGGAAATAAAACTTCTATCGCGAGTGTTCCCGACATAAAGAAACTCCCCCCCCCCCCCCCCCCCCCCCCTTCTCCTCTTTCCGATAAATTCGAGTAATCTAAACTCTCGTATCTGCGATTTGAAGAATAGTCTTACGATCACAAGAGAGCCGCTCGTCCCGGAGGTCTCGATCGCGCTCGGGCACACCGTCAAGGTGTCTATCATTAAAGATAATCGCGGCAGGTTACCTTCTGAGAAAGAGTCGATCGGCGACGAGCGGACCCGAGCTCCGCAGCGGCATTCTTGTAATTGATATCATCAATACGATCGTTACGAGTTATCCTGCGCGCCAGGATATCTGCGAATCGTTGCGTTTAATTTACGACAAGGACACGAGCGATATGGGAAGTCTTCGTCACGTGATAATCGTCGAACGGCAAACGGTATTCTAGTAATACTGGGAGTCATACGATCGTACATGAAGTATTAACATCTTTTTCAACATTAAACTATTCTGTCTTTCTCTCTCTCTCTCTCTCTCTCTCTCTCTCTTTCTCTCTCTTTCTCATAAAATGCTTTACAAAATTTATTAATTAAAGCTCATGAAAATAAGATAAAGATTTAGAATTATTTAAGAAAATAATCTTTAAAAAGAAGTGAGACCCATAAGCAACGAAAATGCCGTGAAATAATGAAACTGTCACATGAATAAATATATAGAGATTATTTTTGTACATTTGAAATATCGAGATCTGAACGCATCATGCTAATTTCATTCGCTACGTCCAAGGATCCCGACGTGTGTTGTCGCAGGTATTAATTTATTAATACTCCCGGTCTTTTCTCACTTGTACACCGGGCTACACACGCTCCTTCTCTCTTTCTCTCTCCTTCTCCGTCTCACCTACGCACGGGGGCCGCCCCACTTCCGGCGGATGTACCCTGATAAATGGGAATCTCACTGTGCGCACGACCGGTCGGCCGTATACACCTACGACGAATGAGAAACGATCCCAGCGTCTTCCAGACATAAAGTACGAGAACGAAGACTGAGGCGAACAGGAGGAGAGCGGAGTTAAACGAAGCTAAGAGTGGCCGCGTCGTTTAAGATCTCCTGGAAGCGTCGAGCTAACGATTCCGCTCCGGCTATCTCGTTGAGATCCCGACGATGATCGCGGAGATGAGAGTTCTGTTGCGACGTTCGTTGCCGGGGTCACGTCTCGCTATAACGCAATGAGCGTACCGCTCGATTCGCGCAAACGCATTCGTACGTGGGAACATACAATAGTTGGGATAAGAAGAAGAAACGGAGAACATTCTTAATCTCCGCCGTTAACTCCGGGACGATGAGAATCGTCCTCTTCTCTCGTCTCTTCCGTAAAGAAAAGAGACGTATGAAACCAGATCTATATAGAGAGAGAATTGCCGCGAAGCGGGGGAAAGAGAAGAGATCCGCGCTCTCGCGGGCGCCGTTCTCTCGGCGGGCTGGATACGGTTGGAACATTTGTTTAGTTGGCTGCAATTAAGCCACTTGGCGGCAATTGTTTGTCGCTCAGCACAGAATTCCGCTCCCACCGTAGTCGCCGTGACGCCGCCACATCGTGACTCCACAAGATGCGTGTAGTACACGGTTACGCGCGCGTGTACAACGAGAGGAGGCGATGAGGTCTCCGCGGGCGGGAGCTGCGCGTTGTGTCGCGTGTTGTACCAACTCGCCACCAACACAACAATTCCAGACGATAAAGGCGAGCGAGTTGCCGGGGTTAGGGGTCAACCGGGTCCAGTAGCCGGTGTACGACCAATCAGCGGCAACCGGCCGAACACCACCGCGAGATCGTCCGAGATGATTGTCTTTGGTCTTTCGAGGCAAGCGAAGATACTGAATTGCCCGTCGAAGCTGCGCGACTAACGAAGATCTTCAAACCAGTTAAAAGACGGGTTCCTTTCAAGAGTGTTATTTCGAGACGGTGTCCGTTTTTCCGAGTCCGTTTTCCTTCGCGATGTTTCTGAACTAACTCGAGCTTTATGCCAAAATGCTTGATAAAAAACTTGAAATGCGATAATTAACTCGTAGTTTTATTCAAATATATAATTTAAGTCAACTAACAATTGTTAATAATATAACAATTGTTTTTTTTATTAAGTATTAATTATCAAAATGATATTCTTATATACAATATCAGAGAAAGAGAAAGAGAGAGAAATGAGCAATAAACTTGTTTTCGATGAAAATACCGTTAATAATAAGATTTCAAAAGAAAAACATAATTATTAATTCTGATTATAGTATATAGTTAATAGGCAGAGAAAAATTCTCAGATTTCGAAAGCAGAAAATAAAAATTTTCTTATTTTATAAAATATTTTTCATAAAATACATTTTCAGAAA